AAATTACTAGCTAAAATAGGACAAATCCCCGCTACATTAATGCACACAACCTCCCATGGGGAGTAACAAAGCCTCCTAAGGGGAGCAATAAATCCAAACAATGGGCCACCTCTAATAGAGGTCGTAAGACCCGCTATTCGGGTCACTTCTAAGCGAGGTAATAATACCTACATGTTAGGGAAGCTTCTAACTGAAGAACCCTAAACCTCTTAAACCCATAGGCTACTTTCAAAGGTGATGTAGATAAGGGGGGGGGGGGGTATCTTTCATACCTATAAATATGAGGGGCTTGTATTGTTTGAAATAGTGAATGATATGTTATTTTTGGAAAAGCTATAACCTGCGGGTTTGCTTGGAAAAGCTTGCGAGCTTTGTCCACCTTCTTTCTCATCCCCTCCGGAAATCTTGCGAGCTCTTTCCAACCTTTCTTCTCGGCTTCTAACCTTTTTCGTCTCCGCAAGTGTCACTCCACCTGTATCCCTCTTCTAAATTGTGAAGCAATTTTAGGGTGTCTTTAATTTCGAGTCATTGTAATTTGTTTAAGTGTTCGAGTCGTCTCTGTAAGTTTTTTTTTTTTTTAATTTCTAAATCTATGTTAGATTTGAAATGTAAGAGTTTGTTCTAATATCTCTAAGTAATTCTCTTCTTTTTGTGGTTTCTTTTCGGTTGTCTATGTGGGTTCAAGAGATATAGGCTCCCCCAATATTTTTTGCCCGCATCAAAAGGGAAGCAGTAAGTCCTACCAACTAAATGCTACATGGGTTACTTTTAATAGAAGCTGTAAGACCCGCTATTAGAGCTACTTTCAATGAAAGCTATACGTCCTAACCCAAATCTAAACTACAGGCAACTCCTAAACGGGGTTGTAAGACCTAACCCAAATTCAAACATACCGGCAACTCCTAAATAAGTCCATAAGACCTAACCTAAGTCTAAATTACATGCAACTCCTAAACGGGGTCGTAAGACCTAACCTAAATATAAATTACGGGCAACTCTTAAGCATAGTTGTAAGTCCAAACCCGAATCCTATTAAAATTAAAACCCACACCTATCCACACGTAGAAGCCGTAGGCACTAGTCCTTGCACGATCGTTCCACTCAATCGACTCCTAGGTCACACAAACGTAGAAATCTCCTGCGCTCGATTCCGCTTCCCCTGACAGAGGCTCTCGCTCCTCTTCTGGCCGCAAGCACGAAACAGAGCAGTTTGGACTGCTTGTCTCTCTTTTGATCTCCTACAACAATGAGGCTACTTGCTCCTCTCCGCTTCCTTTGTATATCCAAGAATCGAGATGCCAAGCTCTCATCCTCTTATAAAGATATGGCAACGGCAACAACAATGAAGGCCAGTGGAGGCTTTCATACCATGTTAAATTCAGAGAATTTGAGAGTGAAGGGCTTCATTTTATTGCACAAAATTATGCCTATTTATAGATATATATAATATATCTTAATAAAGAAACAAATAATTATAAAAACATGCATACTTTCCCTAATATAATAGTTCCTAAATCAACCACCCGAATATGGAAGGAGATCAGCATGATCCAGGTGAGCCTCTCACAGATCTCTATCTTGGTCATTAGATCAAGTGCTAAGGGACGGTTTGGATTTAAAATTACTTTGTTTTAAAAATTTAACATTATTAAATATCCTTCTATAAAATATGACTCGTTTGTCTCTTGAAATATCCATAATAGTTGCATTCCTCGGGTATCTCACAAAGAATTGCAAACATAAAGGCAAAGAAGCAAACTACTTAGCTAAGTGACTTAAAAGTTAAATTTGTAATATCCATAAATGAGAAGAGAAGAAGACTCATTCAAAAATTTTCTATGCCCAGAATTTTGAAGTCATCATGAGATTTGCCATGTCTATCTTGGTATCTTATAAATATGTGGAAGAAGATAAATTTTTTTCTTTATTTGTATCTAATCAAAATTTTTTATTCCCTAAATCTAGTAGCTTCTAATAGAATCTTGAGATTGAACCAAACTCGAATCATCTCCAAACTCTATATCGAAGCAATTAATAGTAATATTGGGGAGCATAGTTTTGACATCACAATGTGAATATATAGTAGTGAATGAAGGATTGCAAAAGGAAAACATTATGTATTCGCAAGCATGATTTTTGAAAAAATTGGTAGGAACAATGGTCATGTCACTTGAAACTTAAGATCAAAGAGATGGGGATGGGGGAGGGGTGGAGGCTATTGACCTTCAACAAGCCAACATTAATAAGGGGTGATACCAACTTAAGAAAAGAATCTAGAGGAACCTCTAGGGCATGAGTAACTCTTGGTAGAACCAAGGCTAAAGGCCCCATTATATCATTAGTATTAACCACCCGTGTCTTTTGTAAAGCCCCTAGAAGATTTTCATAGTTATGGATGTGCCTTGAAGCAAGCAGCATAAAAATGACCAATGTTGACAGACTAAGCATTATAAGGGCAGATCGCCAAATTCTACTTGTTGCCTATAACCACATGAAAAAGTGTTGGATCATGTCTCCCGAGTCAAAGGTGTAGAAATGTCAATCTCAACAAGAATAAAAGCTATAAATGGACGGGGTAGTTTGGCGGCAATAGAATATTTTTTTTTTAAGTTTCTTAAAAATTGATCCCAAAAGAATATAATGTATATTGATTGATGTAGCCCTCATGAACATGAGGGAAAACAACTTAACTGGGGTAATTGGGGTCTTCTCAAAAGTATTAAAGTATGGAGACCGCTTTAACATATGCATCAATAGTAATGTAAACATTGAGAGAAAATTCTTGAATGATCTACTTCTAAAGATAGCCTAAGAAGCATGAGGCAATTATCTAGAAGTCCAACATGAAAACGAATCAAATATAGTGGGGCATGAAGGAACGAATAAGATCCATGCTTGAATGATTATAAATGTGTATGTCGACTATATTGTTCAAAAATCTCAGTTTAAGAAAAAATGAGCGTGGGTTTACACAAAAAATTAAACGGGGATGTATGACTCTTTGAGCTCATGCCATGTTGAATTAATAAAAGGAAACTAATGGGCAAATTTGGTTGAAAAGAGTTCTTCACTCTAACAACCTTAGGGAAATGGAAATGGGGGAACAGTTAACATCCAATTTAGTTTATAATGAAGTAGGTGGAACATCAAAATAAGCTAGATGACCACAAGGGAGTTGGAAGTGACTGTGTGTAGCATAGTCAGATTGACTTGTGACCTGGCTCAGGCTCAACATGATAAAGTGCTTGTTATTTGTGCTCGATAAGCTAACACCAACCCTAACTTGATTTATTAGCTCGTGAGCTAGCTTATTTAAAAGATATTAATATAAAATCTATCAAAAATAAATTAGAATTCATCTGCTTAAATACAAAATTGTTAAAAATATTTAAAAAATTATATCTCATTTATGTCAAATGATTACTTATTATCTCTCATATAATTTATCATGCATTTTATTATTTTATTGCAATAGTTGTTTGAATCATATTTTCTCTCTTACCTAAAAAATGAGTTGACTTGTGAGCCAGCTCTAACTTATAAAATCGATCTCAAGCTTGAGCTCAAACTTGATTAAACAAGCTCAAGCTTAAATCAGATATGGCTTGACTCCTTTCACCCCTAGAAGAGACAAAGCACGAGGTGAAGGCCTGATGTTGACTCCTAAAATCTTGATAAAGAGGACGAAGAGCAGGCTCTAGGAACTAAGGAAATGAAATGGAGGCTCAGCTCACTAAAGTTAGGTGAAGTTTGGTTGTCAATTTGTCATTAAAGGTTTCATCAACTCAGAAGATGGATTAATATGCTGGTGCTCTAGTATTTCATATTTTTTGTGTATAAAGTAAGAGAACCCTAAAAAACGAGCCCCTTTATTTGCAACTGTTACGAAGAAAATTTTTGTTTAATTAGGTTAGGTACTTAAGCTTAAGCCTTTGAAAATGTTCAATTTTTTCCTCATTTTGCAAATAAATTGTTATTATATGTGTGATTCATAATAGATGTAGATCAAGGTTAGATAGGTAGAGATATGAAGATGTATAGATAGTGCTGCAAAGATAGAGGCCATGTGATACAATGATGAAGAGATTTAATGCATGGAGAGAAGCTGAATTCTAGCAAGAGATTATTGCTGGAGATAGGGAGGTTGCTGGTTTTAAAAATTTTTGCATTTGTTTTTGTGAAAAATGGAATTGTTGGCACATGTGAAAAATTAGAGTTAGGTCTTCGATCAGTTACTAATGACTTAGTTTAATACTATTTTTCATTTATAAACACTCACATCTCAAGGCCTTGTAGCCCTACTAGTAGTTTACTGGAAATGCAGCTGATAAAAACTAAGTATTATGATAAAACGAGTTAAATGAATATTTATGTAAGAATTCATGCATGTCATGTTTCAGCTATCATAAGATAAAACTCTAGATCAGTTTTAATAGTTGGAACTTGTGCTATTGTATGTTGGGCATTTATCTTCTTTCACATTTAACAAACTGAAGGAACAAGCACAAGATTGCTTCATTTATGCACAAAATACATTCCATCATATGCATCTAGCTGTACATGTCTACATGAATCATCTCTCATGAAGCAACCATCGCGTTAAAAACTAGGGACATTCATAAGCATCGCAGACAAGTGAGTGAGTATAGTGACCTGTCATAATTCATATTCCATTATTTTTTTTATTATATTACTTATATTACAATAAAAAAAATAAAAAAAATTAAAAATTAAAAATTAAAAAAAAAAATTCCATTATTTTTTTAATTTTTCTTGATACTAAAAGTTTAAATGAGTGATGAAGATAAATGGCAAGCATTGTCATCACAGGGTAAAAAACAAATAATTATACGTTAAAATTATTGTTTTTATCAATAATATTTTGAATTATCGTGGTATTTTAAAGAAGTTCGACTAATTATTTCTGCCCATCTTGCTTGGGATTCTGATATGGGTGCCTATTTCTGCTATATGCCTGATTTTTTATTGTTTGCATGTAGGTCAATGAAGCTGTAGTCAGCGGTTGGCTATTTTTTCGTTATTTGGTCATTGGAGGTACACTGAAGACTCATGTAGTATTCTATTTTTATCTTTCTGAATCATGCAAGCCAACTTCTTCATGCAATCTTATGCTCATGAATGTTTCTTAAATTTGTTGAAAGTCCTACTAGAAGGAAACTGTGAATGCTCACTATAGTTTTTCATGGTAAAATTTTGAACTAGTTGAATAATATGTGATAATTCTCTAAACCCTCATAATGTTAATTATGGCCACAATCAATATGACACCAGAAATGATATGAAAAATAGATGAATTGGGCAACGTGGTCAATGTAAATGGACAATGGACATGCCATACATGCTTATGATCAATTTTGAATCAAACTATTTTTGAACAACCTTTTTTAAGTTGAAGCTAATCAATTTTAATTTCAAATTGATTAAAGTTGAACGATTATAAACAAATCCTGAATTTTGGATTTAGTAATAAACCCTATTTTTATCTCTCTTTCTTAATATATCCTAAATATGGTTTTTATAATTTATAATTTTTGGATCCCCTTATTGACATAAATTGGACTAAATAAATTGAGATTGCATAAATCCTAAAGTACTATTGGTATGAAAATTTTTAGTCATAGTATAAAAATGAAATTTGATTTCCTAATAGGTGTGAAACACATACAAAACATCAGACCAACACCAGAGTTAATATTCGTATGGGACATGTGTATGATCATCAATAAATGTAAATATTATTTAAAGCCTATGTAGTTAAGGACATGACATAGATCCCAATTATTCAAAGGGACTTTGAAGGGACATTAGTAGGACTTGAGGTTGAAGAGAGAAAAGACACCATTAATGTTTATTGAGCTTTCTAGGGAGAAAGTGGTTGGGACAAACTCTTGAAGTTGTTGGGGTGGAGGATGACCCATATGTGCAATACCATTGATATAGCATAATGGTGGAAGGGGTTGATAGTAGATTTCACCAGCTTCAATATCTACACCAATCATCTTTGTCATATTGAGATCTGAAAGACAATGAAAGTGATAGAAAGTTAGTAATTGTGAGCTTGAGTAAGATTGTTGATTAATCATAAACTTGTAGGAAATTTGGAACATGTTATACATTTAAAAGTGATAAGCCCTAAGAGGGAGGTATAATAAAGCCTTTACTAGACATAGTGGTGGGGTATCCATCACCAATTATGAGTGGGAGAGAGGACATGACAAGGTAGAAAAATAAGTGACAATTACTTGTCATATATGAAGAGAAACTAGAGTTTAGAAGCTATGACGTGGCAAAGGAAGCCATAATGTACAACTAGAAGAGGAAAATGCATGATAGATGAACACGAATGTTTGAGAGCATAGAGGAAGACAGTCATAATCCTTCTATGACAAAATGATTGAACTAGAAGTGATGATAAGAGTGGAAGTGCCAATAGTTATGAGACAGAAACTATACGCACGTTAAGAAGTTGCCTATAGCTGAGTTTGCCTATAATAATTTCGTGAATCGTACTGCGAGTTTAAGTCCAGCTGAGATAGTCTATGGTTTCAAGCCTAGGTTGCCTATAGATTTGATTTTCATGAGCCCTAGGTCTAGAGTTAGTGAGTCTGCATCATCATTTGCATCTCATTTACATGATTTGTATGAAGAGATTTTAACTAGGATAAATCAAAGCAATGCAACGTACGAACTTCAGGCTGACATTAAGAAGTGATTCTGAACTTTTGAAGTAGGTGATTATGTGATGGTTCGGATTCGTCTGGAACGGTTCCAAAAAGGGGCTATTAGGAAACTACATGCTAAGAGTGCTGGACCTTTTAGAGTGGAGAAGAAAATTACTGACAATGCTTATGGGTGGATCTTCCTTCAAATTTTGGCATAAGTCCCTCCTTTAATATAGAGGATTTAGTAGCCTATGAGGGACCTGATTTTAACCCACCCAATCCATTTGTTGAGCCTTGTCTGAACCCATTCAGTGAGCACCTTAGCCTATCGCCACTGCTCAAATTACCCAATACACCCCAAGCGGATAAAATTGATATCATTTTGAATGATGAAATTATTTCTACTAAGGATGGAGGAAGAATAAGATATTTGGTTAGGTGAAAGGATAAGCCAGCTATCGAAGATACATGGCTTGAGCGTGAGGAGTTGTAGAGGATCGACCCGGATTTGTTGGAGCGATACAAGAGTTCACTTACAGCTGACTCGACATGGCAAATTTTCTCCCACCCCGAGAGAATGATGGGGACATTAGAGCTTGGAGGGTTTATCACCGTAGAGGCTGGAGATCTACAACCTTCATTTAGTTTTTATATTTTTAGTTTTCATATGTTGTTGAAAATTTATGTGTGTTATTTATTTTATTTTAGTTTTACCCTCACTTAAGAGAGCTTTTGTGTTGTTTGGCCAAGGGCCTTATTGTCTTTTGTCCTTACATGTTTTTGGTGCTTATATATATTGCATATTATTCTCTTGTATGGATGATAAATTTTTTATATAAATTTCTAGTTATATGCTTCCTCTTTTCTTGGTGAGTTGAGTTTGTGTGAAGTCATTTGGAGAAACGCAAAGAAATACCCAACAGCGTGTGAGCTCTTGGTTGGTATCATCTTCCCTCTCTAACTCTTTTTTTTTTCCTCCTTCCCTTGCCACCCAAACAACCCCTTAACTGTAGCAAACTGCTGCCCTCAACCAACAACCACCTCTCTCTCTTCCTCTCATCTACCTCCACCTTCTCCCCAACACCCTTGACCCTTGGGCTTCCCAAATTCTGCAATTAATTCACAATAATTGAGTATTTATCTCAATTAATTGTGACCTTTGAGATTCACAACCACTTTTTATTTTTTCCCTTCCCAAGCAAGCCACATCAGCCCTCTCTCTTCCCAAGAAACCAACCCCATCTCTTCACCTCCCAAGCTGACGTTTCCTTTTCCCAAGCCATTTACTTTCCTTCCCAAGCAAGCCACATCAGCCCTCTCTCTTCCCCAAGCAACCAGCCTCACCTATTCACTCAAAGCTGACTTTTACCTTTCCTAAGCCAACTAATTCCCTTTCCAAGCAAATCACATCAGTCCTTTCTCTTTCCCAAGTAGCCAACCCTCACCTCTTCACTTTCCGAGCCAAATTATCCCTTTCCAAGCCATTAAAATCAGTCAAATCATCTCTCCCCTCCTCCCCATGCAGTTGGCCTAGTTAACCTCTCCAAAACCCAAAATGTTGAGCTCTCCACTTCCAAATCCTCGTATAGCTGAAATTTTCTTTTCTCTCCTCACTATTCTACTTTTCAAAGGAAACTTAACTTTTACTAATGCAACAAGGACATTGATTTAACAAAGAGCAAGGGTTTCAAGGGCAAGCCAAGGAGGAACTAGCTGTCACTTCATTAATGACTCCATTCTTCCTATTCATGAGCTAAGTATCAAACCCTCCCCTTGTCTTTATCTAACTAAATATAAATCTTCTCATTTCATCTATAGTAGCATCATCTTATATGCGTTGATTAATCCACCAAGTTCTACTTAAATTTGAACAAACAGAAACTCTAGTGACTAGCACCTTAATTAAATATTGGACTTGTGCCAACCCATGTAAGTTAGTCTAAACTAATTCGCCTTTATTATTGTTTAGCCTTTGCTTTTTAGTTTCTTACTATCACATGATTTAATAGTTCAAATTTTTTTATTGTTCTTAATGTTTATGAAGTTTATATTGTTGTCTTTGATGTTCTCTTAGCTTAAATCTCTATTTACATGACTTATTTCGCTTAGTCTGCATCATTAGTCTCTACAAACTCATTTTTTATTGGAAGTAATTAACTAAATACAATGAAATGCCTCAATAGGCATTTGGTTCAATGTCTGTTCTTGTTGTGCATGATCCGCCTACAATGTACCATTAAAGAGCTAAAAATACCGTATTAGATATACTTGTGCAAAAGTACGAACAATAAAAGTGGAAGATTGAACATGAGCTTGGCAAAATGTAGTCTAAAATGGTGCTTATTCAGTAAGGTTAATCATGAATAGAATTATTCTTATAAACTCTTAAGATGTGATTTTTCCCAGTTAGGTGAAGATGGGAAATTTTTAAGTAAAAAAATAAGAAAGGAGATGAAAGGTACTTATAACATCTTTCTATTCTTTCATTTTTCTGTAATTTTCCAAGCCCAAAATTTAGCAGACTTAAGTTTTTATCATAATCTGTATCGCACTGCAATTATATTTTGTTGAGTTTCCATCTTCTCTGTTGTGTGCAAATTACCCGGCATAAGGAAATGGTAAACATAAACCAATATCCATGCTGAGGAGCCCAGATCATGAAATACATTTCTCAATTTGAAAATTTACCAAGATTTAAAAAAAAAAATCAGTTTGAATAGAAATGCATCTTTCTTGATATACAACGAAGAATCTGAATATTTGGATATTCCTCGGGCTTGTGTAGGGGGTAGGTGCCTGGGCTTTTTCTACCTGAAGAATGGCCTCTCTATGAAATTAAAATAGTTTTATCATAACTTCCTCTTGAACTGAGGGATTTCCTAGGTATCCCATCTGAAAAAGCATTCAAATATTTGTGCCACACTCATTCTTGAGGGTAGTGAAATTCCTTCGGTTAAGTTCCGAGGCAAGAGTAATGTAATCACAAGCATCACTAGCAACAGCTTATGCACGATGCTTGCTTGAACTGGCCCCTTTCCAAGTGTTAGGGTATTCTTTTTACAAACTATGAAGGGGCTGACACATTGAGGTTTCGTATGACTATTTTGGGAGACATTAATGTGTTGCATCTTTATAATGTGCTGTGTCTCTTAGTCATAAATTTCATTGATTGGACTGCTCTGTTTTTGCAGGTTATGTAGGTCTCGCAACAATAGCTGGGTTCATTTGGTGGTTTGTTTATTATGATGCTGGTCCTAAGTTGCTATATAATGAATTGGTAAGATGTATGCATTTAATTTTCTGCTGCATGCATCCCATTATTTCTTCAAGTTTTATTATTTCATATTAACTGCAAATTAGAAGCCCATGGTGAGATAGTCTTTTGATCTGGACCATGCATCAAGTTTCATTTAGAAGAAGCAACATTTCTTATGCTGTTTTTCTTTCTATTTAGTACCTAAATAGAATGATAGGGGTATTAGGAGCAATTGTACCATGAATTGCATTAAGCCCACTTTTTTTTAGTACTTCTGTTAGCTGTGAATTTTTTTTCGTTTCGTTCACCGCTGTATTACAACTGCATGACGGTGGTTCAGTTTTATTTTTGCTGTATGTGTTTATTTGTCTTAGCTATTTGAATGGGTTTAGAACATTTATTTAACTTTTGTTAGTGGTTATTCTTAAAATATGTTGCAATAATTAAGCATCAAGATTTCATATTAAGTGCAAATGAGAAGCACATTTTAAGATGAGATTCGGACCATATATCAATTAATTAGATAATATGGAAAAAAATGAATTAACTTCATTATGAGAAAGTTTCACTTTGTAATAGCAATTCTTTTGCTTTATTTTCCACCTCACTTGGTATATGAGTAATTGGAGAGGGTAGTTATGGGCAATTGCATCATAAATTGCATTAAGCTCAGTTTGATTTAGTACTTCAATGAGCCATTAATATTTGAAATATGTTTGGGGCTGCCTTAGCCCAAAACTAGCCTTCTCATTCTAGATTTTGGTGGATGCTATGTTGTCTCTTGGATTAGTCGGACAAGGGAATGAAAAATTATTAGCTTATCGATTGATTTTTCATGGGTAATATTTTTTCCAATAGATTTCCCATTGGTAAATCTACTTATGCAAGCTCTTTTATGTTTAGGATATATTTTTGGGTATATTTATTGCGTGTGCATATTATGTTGATTTTTATAGTTGTATTATATATATATATATTATATATATATATATATATATATATGTGTGTGTGTGTGTGTGTGTGTGTGTGTGAAAGTTTATTTGAAATTGTGTTGAGATATTGAATTAACTAAGCTGTTATTTCATTTTCATGGTTATGATGATGCTCATTTCAATTAGGGCAGCTTTAAGTTTTTTTTTTTTTCCCAGGATTTATGTAATTATGATATTATATACTTATTATAGATTTAAAATTTTTAGTATTCTTCAATGTAGAATAGGCATCTTCTTGGATGGAAAGGATTAATAATTGAATTTCTTAATAGACTTAGCTATTTATTCATATGGCATATCAATATTATGTATTCATTATTGAAGGAAAACTTGGGAAATAGATTTATTTAGCTAGAATTTAGCAAACTGAGATACTCAGAAATTTGTTATTTTATGAAACAATGCTTAATATAATGATTTTGAAGTCTCCTAATAACTAAAATAGATTTATTATGTCAGATAGTTATTCCTTTTTGGTGACTTTCTTCATTCGGGCAAGCACCTAGGTTCAAGCATCAAGCATTAGATACTCATATTGGCCTAAATGCTCCTAGTGCTTTTAACTGCACTAGTAAGAATTGTCAATGGCTTCATAAACATAACTCCTACTTTTTATAGGATAAGATTATTGATCTTGGTGGCGGCAATGGTGGGTACTATGCTTGTCAGGGATGATGATGTGATGAATATATTAAAGTTCTCAGAAAAGAATTGATATGCACATGAGTAAATTTAACGATGATCAATGCTTTTTTTTGTTCGAACAATGCTATTCACCATTCAATGGGAAAGGAATGGCTTGTCTACTCCTGTTGTTAGTATACTGCCAAATCAGACACCATTAATGATGTTGATTCCGTTGTAGGTGATCTTTTTTCATATTATCTTGTTATAACTTCTGCCATTTATCCTATCAACAAATTAGGATGAACATAAAAAAAATGATAATATGGAGGTCAGTACCTAGGTCGTGTTTAGGGCCTCCAGTCGTAGGTTGCCATATCTCATTGATGGCGACTAGAGCTTTTGATAACACTAATAAGGACTAGCATAAGCAATGGATGGATCTAGTGATGATATATGATGATGATGATGATACCTCAAATGCAGAGAAAATACTTGATGTACTTGATATCAACATTTTGATATATTTCCTCTTTTTGAATATTCTGTCCTCTATCTTTTTTAATATTCTAACTTCTTTTGTTTATTTATTTATTTATTTATTTTTTGTTAATCTAGTCATATAATTTTTAAGCTTCCATTTTCTCTCTTTATGTTCAGGTTAATTTTGATACTTGCTCATCAAGAGAGACAACATATCCATGTAGTATATTTGCAAATCGTCATCCATCAACTGTTTCAATGACCGTGCTTGTTGTGGTCGAGATGTTTAATGCCTTGAACAACCTCAGTGAAAATCAGTCGCTTCTGTATGGTTTGATTTATTTAGAGTTTACATATTAGCTTTTGACATTACTTATGAACAAGTAACATACTAAAGTATATTTTCTTAGTGTTCTAGATATCTTGAAGTTGATTTCTAGTATATTCTGGATTTGCAGTGTTATCTAATTATACTCCGAACTATGGGGAAATAATTATGGCCATTAATACATATATCTGCTGCCTCTGTTGACCTCTGTAACAAAATAACAAATATATATATATATATATGTCGGTGGAGGTAGCTTTCAAAAAAAAAGGAAAGAAAGAGAAAAAAAGGAATAAGAGAAAAAAAAGTCTTTTGTGCATATTTTTGTCATCGTCACATCTCGTCATTGCATCTCTGTGAAGGTATAACGCCCATGCCCTAAACTAAACAATTCCCACTCTCGGTGTTTGCAGTGAGCCGGAGGACCCCCTATTCGCACCCTCGTAGCACAGTGGGAGAGAGCCCGGCACAACATTTACGGCGAAGCAGGTAAGCCCTGTACACGCTCTCATAGCATGGCAGGGACACTTATAAGTACCCCTACGCGCCTAAATGTTGGCGGGGAAAGCAATTGCACATTTTCAAACAGGTACCTCAAAGACCCTTAAGCGCTCTCGTAGTGTGGCAGGAATTGAATATACGGCCACTGTGATTCCCGACGCCTACCCTTAAGCGCTCTCGTAGCGTGGAGGGGAAGGCCCGACTTTTGGATTTCCTCTAAGCGGGGGAGATGCTGGGAGGTTACTAGAATTTTTACTAACAGAGGACCTAAATTTGAACTGAAAATAGGGGACTTGATTTGAATAATTGACATGGGATTTGAACTTGCAAATTGAACAACTGGGGACATGAATTTGGACCTAATTGAACTGCAATGAACAAAACTCAAATTGATAAACGAAAAACCGGATTTAAATTTAACAAATACATAATAAAATTTAAAATAAAAATAATGCCAAATAATAACCCAAGGCATTCAAATGAACACTAACAAACAAGTAAAGGACTCGTGCCATGCAAAGAATAATAAACACATGAAGAGATACAACAACCTTCTCGCAAGCAAAGATCAAATTGAAGACGTAACAACTTGCTTACAAACAATGACTCGCGGTGGATAAGAATCCCACCTCCCACTCAAAACCAACAATCAATATGAAGATCAATGAATAATTAGAAAACTCATGATCGATAAATTGCCAAACACCTGCTTGCAGACTAATGTCAATAAGCCACAATTAATCTGATGGAGCATATAATATTTGCATGCAATCCATCTTAATCATGGATGGTATGTTCATGAAGGATATATGAAGAATATGGAATGAATGCCAAGATTTCCCTCCAATCAATGACAACCGGCTTGTAGATAAATATAATAGTTATCTATGAATACTGACAGTCAACATACAATTAGCATCAATTGGAAGATGATGTAGGAAACTTGTAATGAGCAGAATGATTTGCCTAAGGGTATGGACATGAACTCATGATGCCTATGGCAACCTGCTTATGTTCAGCTACAAGCAGCTTGTAGTAGGCAAGCTCTCAGCGCACACAAGTGACAAACTATGAGACTAAAATTACTTGAATACTCAATTAAATCAACCTGTAAATGAGGATAAATAACATTCGTATTGCGCATATAACAAATGTCAGGGTAACCCTATAATCTATAACAACTCAGCGGCAAGAAAATGCAACAATTTCCTACAAGCGATGCACAATGAATATGATGATTCGACGTGTACATGATTCATGCAATGCATCATCTATAATTCAAAGTAACAGGTGATAATGAATGCAGATACTTGCAAGTGACGATAGAAGACTGGAAGCGCACATAATTGCACTGCTCATAACCAATGCTGGAAGATACTGCAATGAGCATGATTCGCCTACAATCAATATTAGCTCACGAGCAAATGCCTTGAGCCATTACAAGTGGTAAAGGGTAGTGTATAATGCACAAATGGCATATCATGCATAGACGAGTACGACTAATCCACAATATTTATACGAGTTCCTGCGAGCTACTGCAAAGGATTCCTCATTCATACAGTGATCTACCTGCAAATAATGAAGCTTTTGCACAAAATGATGTGTATGATGATTGCGAGCATCTGCAAGCTGATATAGTAGGGCCCTCATTCATACAACAGTCCACTCATAGGTGATGATGAATAACATGTAGTGGATGCTAAATCGTCCCACAGTCAGCAACCACTCAATATCAGTCAATTACACCGCCCCTTCAAGTAGTAGATGATACATAACAAAATGCAAATGTCTACAAGGTTGTAGGAGACCCGTATATCACACTATATGCCATATACAAGCAAACACCATATGATATGCAGTAAATGCGGGTGTCTATGGGCCCTTGTAGGAGACCTATTATACACACAAAATGTCATCTATGAACAAAATACCAAATGACTACAGCAAATGTAAATGTCTACATGCCGCTGAAGGAGGCCTGTTATACATTCAGCATGCCATTTGTGGGTAAATATAAAAGAATTGCAGTAGATACAAGCGTATGCGACTGGCCGTAAGAGACTCATTAGGCACGACAGTCTACCTGTATGAATCAATGTGCAAATAACCATAGTGCAACGCCACGCCATCGGATCTACAATATCCATACAAGCGAACATAAGTCGTCTACAAGATGCAACACCACGCCACTGAATCTACAACATCCATGCAAGCGTATAGAGGTGTATACAAACTGCAACGTCACGCCACCGTATCCGCAACATTCATATAAGCAAACATAAGGTGTGTATAAGCTCTCAGATAAAACATTACACACACTCAACTGACAATTACTTGCACGCCGGATCTGCGTCAAATATTATAAAAAGGCTCTCACACATGCACTGCAATATGTATACACATAAGTATGAAAGTGTATGCAAGCACATTAGCATGTATACGTGTAAAAATATGCACCCACATGGGCTCCAATGAACGTGTTAAGGGTACGCACGGGACATCTGAGGATGTTGTGTGAGTCAAATAATAAATCCAAATTTGAGCCTGATCCTTCCATGCAAGTAGATAGGAGTCAACATGGCTCAAACTATCTAACAAATGTATGGTCACGGTGTCGACCGATATATTTGTTTTAATACGTTCATATTAAGCCTTCAAGACTTATAACTAGGAAAATTCATTAATAAAAGCAAGCAGCCGAAAACGAACATGATCATCTATCAGTAATTAGACAGAGTCGATAAGGTTCAACATATCATATTCAAAAATGCCCCCTAAACACATGTATGGGCTCCGATGAGTGTGATGTATTCACACACGTGACATCTGATGGTGTTGCACGGGTCAATAAATGAACCCAAATTCGAGTCTGATCCTTCTATATGGATATATATAAGTCGACACAACTCGAACTATCAAACAAATATACGATCACAATGTCGACCAGGATATTTATTTTATATGTTCATATTTAGCCTTCAAGGTCTATAAGAAGGAAAATTCATTAAATAAAAGCATAGAGCCGGCAATAAACCCGATCCTCTGTCAGCGATTAGACAAAGTCGACAAGGTTCAACAGATAATTACAAAAAATGCCCCATTAACACCTACATGGGCCTTGACGAGCGTGTTGTGTTTATGCACGTGATGTTTGAGGAGGTTGTACGGGTCAAAAAAATGAGCATAAGTTCAAAGTCCAATCCTTCTCCTTGGTAAGATGGGGAGTCGACACGACTTGAACTAATGGACAAATATACGATCGTGACATCAATTGGGATATTTAGTTTTATACGTTCATATTAGGCCTTCAAGGCCTATAACAAAAGAAATTTGATGTGATACCACATGCGAAAGGAGCTTGTTAAGAAATTTTAAGAATCATTGACAATGAAATCTCAATTAATAACTTATTGAAATAACAAGCAAATTCATTAAAGATTCTTGATTTTCAACTCGCTTAGGCGAAGGAGTACATGTAGATTAACTAATCCTTGGAGATAAACAAAATAGTAGCAAAGCTAAGAGCTATTAAACAACAATCCACCACTTAATAATGAGAAATTTCACCTTGGGGATTATTCACTCGACTACACTAGGCTTGGCGAGAGAAGATCTTGCAACTAGAATTGAGATCACCACTAGGAAGAAGATGCTGGAAGTCTTTGTCCACGGGAAGTAAGTCGGAGTAGGTGGGGTTGGCGGATGTCCGGTGATGATCCAACGACTTGGTGGAAGATGGATCTCATGATCCGCCATTCAACATTGAAGTGGAGAGGGGAGGCGTCGTCTTCTCCTTTCCTTGGCTTCTCTATTCGAGGGAGAAGCAAAATGGGGCGGCGGGAGCTAGAGAAAGAGGGGAGGC